TCTCACTTTCTGTACTCGTGCCATTACATACTCTCTCCTTGGGCGGTCTCGTCCCTTTCTCCTGGTTTCAACAATCACCCTTACGTGAATGAAGCAACCTACATTTTTTCTTCTGTTCTCTACCAGTCTCTCATGCTAGAACACCACATTTTACACTATCAAACTTCTCAGACTGGCTATACCAAAACCTAAAAATCAGCCGCTCAAAAACTAAATGTATTGGTTTAACTCCCTAAGCCTACTCTTCCTCCTGACATCCTTCTTAAGGAACATTAATGATAACATCTATTTTTCTAGTGCTTATCATGTGGCAGATATTATTCTACATGGTTTATGTGTGATAAAGCTGTTTAATGTTCACAGCAGTTCCATGGAGAAGATACTATTGTTTCCCTAATTTCACAGATAAACTGAGACACACAGAGAGCTTGTTTATGATTATATAGATACTAAAAGTCAAGGCTAGGATTGGAATTTAGGCAGTCTGGCCCCAGAACTGAATACTTAACTACTCTGCTGTACCACCTTTCTTCACTGGATTTCTTTCTTTCTTTCTTCCTTCCTATTTTATTTTATTTTATTTTATTTCATTTTATTTTTTTTGACAGAGTCTTGCTCTGTTGCCCAGGCTGGAGTGCAGTGGCAGGATCTCAACTCACTGCAACCAACGCCTCTCAGGTTCAAGCAATTCTCCTGCCTCAGCCTCCTGTGTAGCTGGGATTACAGGTGCGCGCCACCACACCCAGCTAATTTTTGTATTTTTAGTGGAGACTGGCTTTCACGAAGTTGGTCAGGCTGGTCTCAAATTCCTGACCTCGTGATCTGCCTGCCTGTACCTCCCAAAGTGCTAGGATTACAGGTGTCAGACACCACGCCTGGCCAATTTTCGTATTTTTAGTGGAGACAGGGTTCTACCATGTTGGTCAGGCTGGTCTTGAACTCCTGACCTCAGGTGATCCACCCACCTCGGCCTCCCAAAGTGCTGGGATTACAGGCATGAGCCATTGCGCCTGGCCTCTTTGCCACATTTCAATCCTTACATTAGTCTTCAACTCCTCCAGTTCATGTCCCGCCAAGTCTTGCTGATTGTCTTTCTCCAAAGCCTCTCCCTTCAGTCAGCTCCTCCCCGTTCCCCTGTTCCCTTACTATCTCTTACCAATGCCAGTTTTATTGATTTCTAGTTATCTACTAATCAGCTCTCTCTAAGTCTGCAACACCTGGGTTTTCTTTTTTCCAAAAGTGAAAATAGCTTTCTCGTTTTTCTGGATATAAAAATGACATGCTCTGCCAGGTACAGTGGCTCATGCCTGTAATCCCAGCACTTTGGGAGGCTGAGGCAGGCAGATCACTTGAGCTCGGGAGTTGGTGGCCAGCCTGGGTAACATGGCGAAAACCCGTCTCTACAAAAAATACAAAAATTAGTAGGGTGTGGTTGTGTACACCTGTAATCCCAGCTACTCGGGAGGCTGAGGCCAGAGGATGGTTTGAGCCTGGGAGGCAGAGGTTGCTGTGAGTCGAGATCCCACCTCTGGCAGCAGAGCCAGACCCTGTCTCAACAAAAAAATAATGATAATAACAATAAAAATAATTTTTTAAAATTATCATTGTTTCACAATCAGAAGACAAAAGCAAATACAGGAAAAAAAACCTAAAGGCCAGGCATGGTGGCTCACACCTCTAATCCTAGCACTTTGGGAGGCTGAGGTGGGTGCATTGCTTGAGCTCAGGAGTTAGAGACCAGCCCGGCCAGCATAGCGAAACCCCCTCTCTACAAAAAATACAAAAATTAGCTGGGCATGGTGGCAGGTGCCTGTAATCCCAGCTTCACGGGAGGCTGAGGCAGGAGAATCACTTGAACTCAAGAGGCAAAAGTTGCAGTGAGCTGAGATCCTGCCATTGCACTCTAGCCTGGATGACAAGAGCAAAATTCCATCTCAAAAAAAAAAAGAGGAAGGAAGGAAGGAAGGAAGGAAGGAAGGAAGGAAGGAAGGAAGGAAGGAAGGACGACCTAAATCATAATTTTGTCTCTCTGCAGTGATAATTGTTGCCAGCATATTGGTACATACTCCAGAGATTTTTCTCTCTCTTTGCATCATCTACACACATAACCATAACATTTTAGCATTAAAAAATGAGATATTTCTTTATTGCATTTTTATTTTTTCATTGAATAATACTAGGTATTATTAGCCATTTTGATATTTGCCATTCTTTAACACAAATGTACGTTTTTGTATTAGTTTGTATTTCTCTAATTACCAGTAATACTAGTTTTTCACAAGCTTAATGTACTTTTTATTCTCGCTTGTGATCTGACTTTTGCTCCATGTTTTCTAGTAGTGATCACTTTTTCTTATTGATTTGTATGAGCTCTTTATATATCAAGCATATTAACTATTTGCTTATCATGTATATTGAAGAAAATTTTCCCTAAGTTGTTCTTATTTGAATTTCATGTTAGAGGTTTTGTTGTTGTTGTTTTGTTATATAAATATTTAAGACTATTTTGGAAGTCATATATACGATTATTTTCCTTTATGTTTCCTGCCTTTGGTGTTCTGTGACCAGATTACTGTTTTTAATGCTCAGGTCTGATCATATGGCCCCTAGAATTATTAGTGGCCTGCAGAGGCTGGAGAGGCCCAAGCTCCCTGGGCTCAAAATCAGCGAGTAGATGAGTCCTCTTCCTTGGTCAAATCACATTTCAGCTCATTTCTGGCTCCTTTCTGTCATACAATTAAAAATAAAAAAGTTTTATACAGACAGGCTCTCATTAGGTTGCTCAGGCTGATCTCAAACTCCTGGGCTCAAGGAATCCTACACCTCAGTCTCCCATGGAGCTGGGATTACAGGCCGAGCCACCATACTTGGCATGTTCATAAAATTATACTCTATTCGAGACAATCAATTGCTATTCTGAGAATTTGTCACATCTTTCACCACTACTAGAAATTATGAAAAAAGCCGGGCACGGTGGCTCAAGCCTGTAATCCCAGCACTTTGGGAGGCCGAGACGGGCGGAGAGGTCAGGAGATCAAGACCATCCTGGCTAACACGGTGAAACCCCATCTCTACTAAAAAATACAAAAAAGTAGCCGGGCGAGGTGGCGGGCGCCTGTAGTCCCACCTACTCGGGAGGCTCAGGCAGGAGAATGGCGTGAACCCGGGAGGCAGAGCTTGCAGTGAGCGGAGATCCGGCCACTGCACTCCAGCCTGGGCGACAGAGCAAGACTCCGTCTCAAAAAAAAAAAAAAAAAGAAATTATGAAAAAAATAAAAGATTTTAATAGTGAATAGAGAAGCTTATTAAAATAGATTGATGTGATATTCTTGAAATTACACCTTAGAAATCGTATTTTTCAAAACCAGAGACAGAATACACTGGGACCTTACTTCAGGAGCCCTGTGTGCTGGGAAGAAGGGAAGTCTGGGTTGAGTAAAAGGTTTCCTAGCACAGCTTAGGATATTCTCCTACAATCTAAATGCATTCAAGTGATGTCACCCAAATTATGAATGCTGTGTGATAAGCTCCCCTTGGTTTAGCTGTCACATGGCAAGCTGACGAGTTACCTAGAGGTTTTCCTATCCAGAATTCCCACCCCTTTTTGCTCATGCTGTTCTATCTGGAACACTCTCTCTCAAATTATTTCTATCCCTCCTCAACTCAACTACATCAATCTTCCAAGTCTTTGCTCAAAATCGATCTCCATTTCTTATTCCCAAGCAAAAAACAGGTCAACACTTGCTTCTTACAGTTTGCAATGCTTTATGCCTCTTCTCATCATATCTTCTCTTGCTCATAATTACCTGAGGGCATGTTATCTCCCTACTACACTATAAATTCCTTAAGGGCAGAGACTGAATCTCATCTTGGAGCACTCCTTCAGTACCAAACAGAGGGCACTGGGTAGTCTGTAGTAAATTTGCGGAATAAAGGAATGATTGTGATGACCAGCTCAGTGCTACATCACTGAAGCCACTATTTGGGGTTTGCTTTAAGAAGGTATTGGCCAGGCACAGTGGCTCACACTTGTAATCCCAGCACTTTGGGAGGATGAGGCAGGTGGATCACTTGAGGCCAAGAGTTTGAGACCAGCCTGGCTAACATGGTGAAACACGATCTCTACTAATAACACAAAAAATTAGCTGGGCATGGTGGTGGGTGCCTGTAATCCCAGCTACTGGGGAGGCTGAGGCAGGAGAATCGCTTGAACCCAGGAGGCAGATGTTGCAGTAAGCTGAGATCGCGCCATTGCATTCTAGCCTGGGTGACAAGAGCAAAATTCCGTCTCAAAAAAAAAAAAAAAGAAGAAGAAGAAGGTATCTGAGAAGCTCTAAACCCACACTGGAGTTGGAAACAGGCCCACAATCATTATTAGGCCTCCCTTTGAATTCTTAGCAGCACTGCTCTATCAGCTCAACATTCACTTCAGTATTAGCTTCTGGGCCAAGTCAACATCCTAGAGATCCAGTATTTGTCCTGACACATTCACTAAGCTAACAAGAACACACGGCTGGAGCCTTGGTACCTCTCAGCTGATACCACCACTCCTGGATAAAAATAACACAACCTGTTTTTTTGTTTGTTTGTTTGTTTTTTTGAGATGGAGTCTTGCTCTGTTGCCCAGGTTAGAGTGCAGTGGCACAATCTCAGCTCACTGCAACCTCCGCCTCCCGGGTTCAAACAATTCTCTGCTTCAGCCTCCCGAGTAGCTGAGATTACAGGCACCCGCCACCACGCCTGGCTAATTTTTGTATTTTTAGTAGAGGTGGTGTTTCCACTATCTTCGCCAGGTTGGTCTTGAACCCCTGACCTCATGATCCACCCACCTCAGCTTCCACACAACTTTTTCTATGGCCTCCAAATCCAGGACAAGGCTGTGTGAGTCAAAGTACTCAGGGTTCCAACTCACTAAAACATGGTATCATTTGCAGCGTTGATTTTGCTCAAATAGAAGCTCAATGCAAAGGCATTCAACACAGAGACCAAGAGTGTCATACCTGAATGTTAACATCTGCCCCGTTGTTTACTAACAATTCAAGACACAAAGCACCATGAGTGGAGGCAGCAGCAAAATGCAAAGGGGTGAACCCATTATTGTTTGGCTGGTTCACGTTAGCACCGTAGTCAATCAACTCGTTAACCACAGCATCCTGTCCATTGTAGCAGGCGATGTGAAGCGCTGTATTGCCATAGACATTGATTTCATCAATCTGCAAAAGAGTCCAACACAGGGTGATTCAAGTCATTGGAGCCAGTTTACTCCATTTTCCACAAAAAGCATAATTGCTGTGGCTAGAAAAAGGAAATAGCCATCCGTCAATATAATTGTTCAGAGCTTACTCTTGCCCCAGTGTGGTCATCTTGGGAATGCTTGTCACCCCATGGTAAAGATCAGCAAAACGTCAATGTGGCAAAAAATGAACTGGAGAGAGAGAAGTTTCATCCTGGGGAGAGGTATTTTTCAGCTAACAAAGGGATAAAAGGTGAAGGGCAAAGCTGCTTTCAAAACACCAAAAGAGAAGTAAATCAGAAGAGAACAAAAAGAGTCCCACACTCTAGGGTTGGGGCACAGCAAACCTCAAGAAATGGTAGTGGATAGCAGGTAGTGGCTGCGGAGATGGCAGGAGAGGTGGCTGTGGAGCCTAAACACAGAAGGCAGGTCAGAACCCAATATCTGTTTTGCTCTGGAGCCTGACACCTCACCAGGTTCCATTTTAGTAGCAGAGCAGTGGTGCCGTCAGGAGGTGTGTTTCGTCCGTGGCCCCCTATTGCTTTCTGAGACCTGCCCTGGGTGCCTGCTTTCATCATTATGGTTGTATAGCAACTTGGTTTTCCTTTCCTGGGGGACAGGATGTTCCAGCCTCACCACTGCTCCTGTTCTACCAGCAGAAGGAGAATGCAGCAGTCCGACTTCTCCAGCTCAAGAACAGACATTGCTGATATTTGTCTCTGCCATTTATTCATTCATTTCTGCTGTAAGTCATGACTTAGAAGGCTACATTCGGAAGGTGGGATGCAGAACCTTGGCCAGTCTTTAAAAACAACTGGTTAATAAATATTACATAGAATCTATATGTCTATATATTTATCTATGTTGATATAGAAAGTTATTCAGTTTCCAGTTTTTCTCTGCTTAGTGTATGCCCCCACTGCCCTTTACCAGTTGCCCACAAAATCTTAAAAAGACAGGATGCTAGAAAACAACTCCCCTGCCCTTGAATTAAAGTGCAAACAGGATTTAACTTTAGAATAACAGAAATCTCACAAATACACAGGCCATGCAGTGATGCATTCATTATAGCTCACCTCCACCCCCAGGTTCAGGAGATGCTTGACAACATTGATCTGTCCATTGGAGGCCGCAGCATGCAGAGGGGTATAACCCTTCTTATCCTTACAGGTCACTTCTGCGCCATGGTTAATGAGCAATGCTACAACATCCAGGTGGCCTTTACAAACAAAGCAGCAGAAAAAACATCGTTAACCTTTATAGGACAATTTGCTGATTCATTTCGCCTAAATTATCACCATTAGCTTTTATTGCCACCAGTATTTTGCTGAGTTATTTGTAAAAACTGGAAAATATTCATGGCAACTATTCAACAAATATTTATTGAGTACCTCCTATAGTCAGGCATAATGTAAATGCTGTGGGAAGAAAAAAGATGATTCATATGAGCCTTCTCTTCAAGGAGATCTAGGTGATGCCTGTTACCATGCTAATGAATAATGGTGAGGTTTTGCCAAGATATCAGTAGAGAGCCTTAAAAAATGTTGTGTTAAAATGAAAGCAATGCTTTTGAAAACAATTGCCATTCCTCACTGAAAAGTTTAACAATGACAATTCAGTTAGGAAAAACTGATAAAAGAAAAAAAAATAATGAAAATGACCATAGATTACTGTTTAATCATACAAAATTACTGCTGCTTAACTGTATTTGGATGCAATTTCATATGGCTCAACTTAAAAGTATCCTCATGAATTAGAGGCCAAACAGAAAACCCTTCTAGTTTTAGCTCCTGTTAGCATTCTTTTCTACAATATTTTACTCTGTTCCATAATTCACCATATATAGAATAAGCCTGCACAACATGGTGAAATCCTGTCTCTACTAAGAATACTCTACTAAAACCCCGTCTTTACTAAAAACTTAGTTGGGTGTGGTGGCACACGCCTGTAGTCCCAGCTGTTCAGGAAGCTGAGGCACGAGAATCGTTTGAACCTGGGAGGCGGAGGCTGCAGTGAGCCGACATAGCACCACTGCACTCCTGCCTGGGCAACAGAGCAAGACCCTGTATCAAAAAATAAATAAATAAATAAACAAACAAAAAAGCTTATTTGACCTTTCTTTCAGCACTGAAGACTGTTCAGTGCTTCAGGATCACTGCTCTAAATGCGGCTGAAAATTGAAGGGTGGAAGACAAGTACTGACTCCAGGACTCCGTGTGTGTGTTGGAGTCGGGGGAGGTATTGGCTTGTTTCATTAAAATTTGACTCTTTTCTCCCCAAGACTTGTATATAGAAAATTTTTTTTCAGTTATTAGTGGTGCTGTCTTAAGCTATTTGCCCTGGTTTTGCCTATTATTCCTATTTGTATCCTGATAGCACACAAAACAATGACTTGATTTCTTTAGAGTCATTTATCCAAATGCTTTAACTGTGTATACATCAGCAGAGAACAAGCTTGAAACTTCGCATTCTTTGAGTCCTATCCACACTAGCTTAGTGTGTGTTCGACCTACACAGCTGTCTCCCGCAGTCACAGGCTCCAGTCCTGCAGGTGCCACCTAGTCATTTCATATGCTTCGGCCAACTCGAAAATCCATGTCAACTTTTTTTAAAAAACATGCTAACGCTTGTAAAAGTTTAAGATTCTGTTTTTTTAAGCACAGGGATTCATTCAGACCCATCTTTAGCCACATACTTTATTTCATCCCTGCCCCAACCTATTCTTTCTCCCTATAATTAATGTTAATTTTTAAAGCGATGATAAAAGGCACATATGTTTGTTACAAAGGATTCAGAAAGGCAAAAAGGTATTAAAAGAAAACCAAAATCATCCACAATCATAAATACCCAGAGACAATCAATTAAAATTTTAGCATATAATATTTTCCAGGTTTGTTATTGCACAGATTTTTAAATGAAAATGAGAATTATTTTATTTATACTGCTTTATAATATGCTTTCACTTAACATATCACAGAATCTGTGTTAATAAACACTCATGGACTCATCACTGTAGTTACTGCAAAGTGTCCCCTTGTGTAGATCTTCCAGAATTTACCAAAACAGTCTCCTGGGGATGGGTATTCAGGTTGTTTACAACTTGGTGCTGATAGAATCCTATTTTTCTAATAGCAGGATGTTCTCCAATTAGAAACACAAAGGAAATATCTTAGTTCTTCATTTCCCACAAGTCTACACTTGGAATAAACTGTGAGATCTATCATTTGTCAGTGGGATTTGCCAAGTGAAAAGGAAAAATGTAGAAATGTGACCTCTCCCAAGCGGGCAGGAATGAGGGCTGCAGGCTTCAGTTTGGTTGTCAGTGGACTATCAGGATAATCCTCAGTACTTCCGGTGCCCTTCACCTATAAAATAGCCAGAGGTTTGTCTTTTCTTCCTTTCTTCTTGTTTCTTTCAAAAATATTTATAAATTTAAAAAGACCAATGGAATTTGTGTCCTTGCTTTCCTAGCCAGTGCTCTTTCTTTTTAAAACACCTTATTTTACTGCCATGACAAGTTAAAATAAGCACAATCTGTGCAGCTTTCCAATCCAGACTGAAGCACATTCAAAGAGGCCCAAGCCATGATTCATTCCTCCTCTGCTTTGTAGGATAAATAAATATCTGACAAAGCAACTGCCCGACTAGAGCACACTATGCATGCCAGTAAAATGTACCAAATCTTCATTCAATTGCAACCCAAACTTGAAAAGAAGTCAGAATGGAGAAAACCTACATGGTCAACAAGAGACCCGTGGCTTATTTAGTTAAGGTTATCTGTACTTTGCTTTCCATGCATGGAATCCTTACCCATGTATGCTGCCCAGTGCAGAGCACGCCGGTCCTTCTTGTCAAATGCATTGATATTTGCCCCTTTGGCCAAGAGTAAATTGACCATCTGAAAGATAACCAACAAGGAAATCAAGCATACATTCTGTAATGGTGAAGCCTCCTCACTGCCTGCAGGTGATCTGAGCCAAATTAACATGAAATCTAAAGGCAGGTCAGAGATCTGGAGTTCTGACAAAGTAGAAATATGATGTCAGAGCAGGAACTGTGTCATGTGTGTCAGAGGAAAAGACTGAAGTGACAGCCTACTTTTTCAATTCATTGTGGCTCTAAAGTTGAGAATGATATAGATGCTGAAGGTTTGGTGTACAAATGTTTTCATCACATTCTTTAAAATCTCAGCAAGAAGATCAGTTTCCACTTGTGGCTGAAAGTGCCTGGAGGGAGCGTTCCAATTCTGAATGATAAAAATACCCACCTCCACGTGGCCGTTCAAAGCCGCATGGTGCAAGGCTGTGCGCCCCCCTCGGTCGGAGACATTGACACTGCTCAGCAGGGGAATGATCACTTCTGCACATTTGACAGCCTTGTTGGCTGCTGCCACATGAAGAGGGGTCTGCCAGTTCTTGTCCCTTGCATTGACATCAGCTGAGTGCTTAATCAAAACCTGTACTGCTTCCTACAACAAAAGCAGAGTTTGCAGAGGTCACTGACAGACGTTCAATCAATACTTAGTGCCGTAAGATGCTTCACCAAACCCTGGAACTATGGAGACAAAGGCCACCTGACCTTACAGGCTGGCTCCAGACAAGCCAGGTAATATCTGATAAAGATCAAAAGAGTGGCATAGATGAAGACAGAATCACTTTACCTTTCTTTGTCAAGCCAAGAGCCCTGGTACAACTCTAAAATCAAATAAACCTTCTAAGTATATGATGATGTCCTTACAATGTAGAAGGCACTCTTAGGCCAAATGAGAACACTGCGTGCGAGTGTGCATGCCAGGGTAAAATATCCATAGACAAAAAGGCCTCAGACCTTCTTGGATCAGTTTATAAATCTTTGGTTCTCTCTGCCAACATCTTAACCCTCAGCCTCGTGTGATCAACAAGTAGTCAAGATGGAAAGTAACATCTCTGTTACCATCTCAACTTAAAGCTATGAGTTGTTTCCATCTTTTCCCAATCTTTTCCATGTTAGAATGTGTCACTTCTTTTGCCATTGTTGAGTTCCTTCACCTACATTGGACCTCCCCATGTTTTTTCTTCTATTGGCCCAGTCAGCTCCCTAGCCTGTTGGTCTATGACTTTCAACTATGGTATGCAATGGAGTCATCCATGCAGCTCTTACAAACACAGAAGCCAAGCATGGGCAACATAACAAAACCCTGTCTAAAAAAAAAAAAACAAAAAAACAAAAAAAACAAAAAAAAAACCCAACAAACATATATACAGGTGCAAAAATAATTGCATTACTTTTAATGGCAAAATCCACAATTACTTTTGCACCAATCAGGAGTGGTGTTGCAGACCTCTAAGTCCTAGCTACTCAGGAGGCTGAGGTGGGAGGATCACTTGAGCTCAGCAGTTCACAGTGAGCTGTGATCACGACACTGCACTTCAGCCTAGGCAATAGAGCAAGACCCTGTCTCAAAAAAAAAAAAAATACAGTAGTTTAAAATGATTATGGAATTAAATTCACAGACGTACAGAATATTAGAAATGGAGAAGGCCCTAGGGTTCATCTGGGCTGACCCCTTCATTTCATAGGCAGCTTTATTTTATAGGTAAGATGACGGAAGTCCAGGGCAATGACCTGTCAGCCTGGCTGACTTACGGGCTCATGCATTTTCTAACAGGCCATTTTCTACTAGGCTTACTTGGTGAGTAGTCTCAGTCAAGCATCCTGACATAAATAGATTCAACAGTTAATTCTATTTAGTTATTTACATTTTTAAATCCTAAAGTTTTAGTCTGCTACACTGGCTTAATACATATAATAGAAATTTAATATAATATTTTGGCAAAAACAAAACTTTGATTAAAAATAGATAATTACCTTTTTAAAAACTGCATTTCTCTTTTAAAAGTTTTAAGCTTGGAAGCTCTTTAACTTGGTTTTACAAGGGAGTAATTTGATGGCTATTTAGGGAATTAATTTTTTTAAATTAAAGAAGTCTGCCTTCTCCTGTATCACATATTGGCTAAAAATTAATACCCAGGAACTCACTCTGGCAGAAATATACATGGTAAAAAAGAAACTAATGTGGGGAGGAGGGAAGCTGAACACTTTCTGAATCAAGAAAATATTCTTTTTTTCTGTTAAAGGTTTTTTTTTTTTTTTTTTTGATATTGTTTTTGAGATGGAGTTCTGATCTGGCAGAAATATACATGGTAAAAAAGAAACTAATGTGGGGAGGAGGGAAGCTGAACACTTTCTGAATCAAGAAAATATTCTTTTTTTCTGTTAAAGGTTTTTTTTTTTTTTTTTTCCCAACTTTTAAGTTCCGGGGTACATGTGCAGAATATGCAGGTTATATAGGTAAACATGTGCCATGGTGGGTTGCTGCACAGATCAACCCATTACCTAGGTATTAAGCCCAGCATCCGTTAGCTATTCTTCCTGGTGCTCTCCCTCCCTTCTCCCCACTGACAGGCCCCATTGTGTGTCATTCCTTCTCATGTGTCCCTCTGTTCTCATCGTTCAGCTCCCACTTGTAAGTGAGGACGTGCGGTGTTTGGTTTTCTGTTCCTGTGTTAGTTTGCTGAGGATAATGGCTTCCAGCGCCATTTGTGTCCCTGGAAAGGATATGATATTGTTTCTTTTTATGGCTGCATAGTATTCCATGGTGTATATGTACCACATTTTCTTTATCCAGTCTATCACTGATGGACATGTGAGTTGATTCCAAGTCTTTGCTATTGTGAATAGTGCTGCAATGAACATAAATGTGCATGTATCTTTATAATAGAATGATTTATAATTGGATTGCTGGGTCAAATGCTATTTCTGCTTCTAGATCTTTAAGAAGTCGCCACACTGTCTTCCACAATGGTTGAACTAATTTATTCCTACCAACAGTGCAAAAGCTTTCCTTTTCTCTGCAACCTCACCAGCATCTCGTTTCTTGACTTTCTAATAATCTCCATACTGACTGGTGTGAGATAGTATCTCACTGTGGTTTCGATTTGCATTTCTCTACTGATCAGTGATGTCGAGCTTTTTTTCATGTTTGTTGGCTACATGAATGTCTTCTTTTGAGAAGTGTCTGTTCACGTACTTTGCCCACTTTTTAATGGGGTTGTTTATTTCTTGGTAAATTTGTTAAAGTTCCTTTTAGACTCTGGATATTAGACCTTTGTCAGATAGACAGACTGCAAAAATTTTCCCCCATTCTGTAGGTTGCCTGTTCACTTTGATGACAGTTTCTTTTGCTGTTCAGAAGCTCTTTAGTTTAATTAGATCTCATTTGTCAATTTTTGCTTTTGTTGCAATTGCTTTTGGTGTTTTCATCATGAAATCTTTGCCCATGCCTTTGTCCTGAATGGTACTGCCTAGATTTTATTCTAGAGTTTTTATAGCTTTGAGTTTTACATTTAAGTCTTTACTCCAGCAAGAAAAGCTTCTTTAACAGTGCTTTTCAAACTATCTGTGGTAAAGAACCAGCTTTTTAAAAAGTTATTTCAAATCTATCACTTTTGAGCCAATACTTTTATAAAATACAATTAAAAAATCAGTAGAATAATAAAATGAAATAAAAACAAGATAAAAACTATAAATGTAATTATTTTATTGTTAAAGTTAATGGGCATGAAATTATCAAATTGCTCTAAAAGTTTCTGACCACCTACTCTTTTCACAACAGATAAGATAAAAGCTCACAGGCCAGCCCCAGTGTGCAGGCACACTGTGAATCATCATGCTCCTTCAAAGCCTGTGTTTGTTTGTTTGTTTGTTTGTTTTGAGACAGAGTCTCGCTTTTTCGCCCAGGCTGGAGTACAGTGGTGCCAACCTAGCTCACTGCGACTTCTGCCTCCCAGGTGCAAGCGATTCTCCTGCCTCAGCCTCCTGAGTAACTGGGTTATAGGCATGTGCCACCACGTCCAGCTAATTTTTTTGTATTTTTAGTAGAGATAAGGTTTCACCATGTTGGCCAGGCTGGTCTTGAACTCCTGACCTCAAGTGATCCACCTGCCTCAGCCTCCCAAAGTGCTGGGGTTACAGGCGTGAGCCACCGCGCCTGGCCCTTTCTTTCTTTCTTAATGAACAAACACCTGTGAAGATTCTGGTATTTCCCCCAAATGGAGGCATCAGCCCAGTTAACATTCTGTTTTAGGACTGTAGGCCTTGTTGGATGACATCCTGTAGCAGGCCATCCTATACAAGATGCAGAAATAATAGAAAGGAGGGGCTGTCATGGGATGTCATATGGGAGGTAACTGGAGATGACATTTGCAGTCAGTCAATTTCTACTTTTTACGACTCTTTTTATTTAACAAAAGGCCACTTCAACCTTGAAATAAGAAGTAGAAACATACACTGTGGCACATGGAAAAGATGAGAATAGGAGGCATGTGTCTTAGAAACTATCATCCTTAATATTTGTTTCTTTACTCTCAAATGTGCATTGCATTTCAGGGGTCATAAATTACTCATGGAAAAGTAACTGTTTATGACTACACATAGTCCCTGCAGCCATAAGCAATGTCAAGTTTTATAAATTACAAGTTGCTTTAGATAAGGGTCTAAATGTTATACAACTGTCTGTACTCTCCACAAAGCCTGGCAGGTGCTTTGCACATAGTATATATTCAGTAACTTTGGGTAGAACAAATATATTGCTGTAATCATCAGCAAAGTCTGTAAGTAATAATCTGTAAGTGTTAACAGTACATTACTGTGGGCTGATGTCCCTAAGGCTGCACTTAAGTCCTGAAGGCTTTTGCTATATTACTATAATCATTTGAGGCTTTTATCTTATGTCAATTGTAGCAATTTCATATTCTGTAAGAACTGTATAAATTGATGTCCAACCAATTTGCTTAATTAATGGTATTGTTCCTCTAAACGTACCAAAATACCAAGCACCAAAAAGACTCACCCATTATTTTAACTATTACTACAGCACAATTATTCTAAGAACTAGGAGTGCAAAAGCAGTTCGCTGGAGACTTTGGGATATGAAAGAATTCTAAACGAACTATTTAAGAAGTGCTAACTTTAACCATTAGGAAAGGCAGGCACTAAAGTATGACCAGTGTTTAATCTCAGGTCGCAAAGTGTGACTTGTAGACGACATGTATCAGAATCTTCCTTTGAAAAGGCAAATTTCTGGGCCTAACCATAGGCTTCATTCAGAATCACTAGGGGTGAGGTTTTAGAACAGACAGTTTCAACAAACACTCCAGATAATTTAAATGCACTAAAGCTGGGCACCACTCGTCTACATTCTAATATACCATAAAATGCTTACTTTCTTCCTATTCCAGGTATGACCTATGTTCCATACACGAACAACTTTTTATAATCATGAAGATAATTTAAAGAAAGCAATAACATTCTACTCTTCCATATAATGTTTCCAATTCTCCTGTCTACTAGCATTAAGCCCACAATAATGATCATGTTTTTTAGAGGAAAGGGTAGAATGTAAGTTTTTTAAATTTCGACTATAAAATA